AGTCCCAGAGAGGGGCGTCCCAGAGACGGGTGAGGGATCTGTGGAGCTCCAGGCCAGAGAGCAGAGCCGACTTTGGGGAAGGGTTGCGTTATGAGCCGAATTGGGTGCCGCCCAAATTCATCAGAAGGCGACTGTCTTTGGCAATAGGGCCTTTAAAGAAGCAGTAAGTCAAAATGAGGGCGTTGGGACGGGTCCTGATCCAGTATGACTGGTGTCCCAGTAAGAGATTAGGACACAGACATGTGAGGGCACAGGAGGAAGACAGCCACCGGCACGCCAAGGACAGGCCTCAGGAGAAACTGACCCTGCGAGCACTTGATGCCGGACCTCCAGCCTCCAGACTGTGAGAAAATAGATCTGTGTTGTTGAAGCCCCCTGGTCTGTGGCACTCTGTCGTGGCAGCCCCAGCTGACAATACACCATGTCTGTCAGCCCCTGGGGGGAGGGGGGTCTCCACCAGGACCTTTGGGAGAGAGAAGAGCAAGGCTGGGCCTCCTTCCTCTGGGCCTGTCTCCCTTGGGCTAAGGCAGGAGGCAGGGCCTGTGCAGCCGCTCCATCCCCGCCCAAGGGAAGAGAGCACAGAGCCCCCCCCCTTCCCCCGTCCCCGCCCCAGAACTGGACTATCTGCCCGTGAAAGGCCGGGCTTGGTGGGGGAGGCCTTGGGGCTGAGGGAGGAGAAATCACCTGTCAGGCTGACCACTGTCCCTTCCCTGAAGCCCTGGAAGGGGATCCTGGGGCTGTGGCCAGGAGGTGGGAGAGCATCAAACCTGGGGGTGTTGGGGGGCAGGGGCGGGGCAGGAAGGGAAGGGAGTCCCGAGGGACAGCCTAGTGTCATCCCAAATAACTTGTTTTCCACCCACCTGCAAGCCCTGTCCCTACCACCTCAGGCAAAGTATGTCCTGTTCACATCCACAAATGCCCCTTTGGACCACAGTCAGACCCAAGTTTTCTCCTTTTGCTGAACGCAGTCTGCCCTGGGGCATCACAGAAGCTGGTGCCATGGCGTGGGTGGGCCTGGGAAGGGACCCTCCTCCCTCCTCTGCTGAGAGCCCCAGAGCCTGGAGCCATACCAGGTTCTCTTTCTTGATCCTGAACATTTGCCCTTGGAGGGGACGCTTCCTCGCCTGCCCCGAGCCAATCACATCAATTTTATAAATTGCCTTTATTGAAGAAAATATAATTACACGGAAATATACAAATCAGCAAAAGCGATGTGTATCAGTTCATTCAATCTCCGTTGCCATCAGCCGTGGTCGAGGGCGATGGTTTATTGCTTATTTCTTCTTGTCTGAAGGGCTCAGCTTGTCCAATAATTGCTGAGTCTTAACTTTTTTTGCACCATTGTTGGCAAGGGAAATTAATGCTATTTCGATGGTCACTGAAGCTTGTGTTTTGATCTCTTCCCTGCCCGTACTTGCGAATCAGTGAGAATGAACTCCAAGTACAATTTGTACGTGGTAACTCAACCCATCTTTGAAACAAGAGGAATTTAATGATTTCTGACCTGCAGATCTTACTTCCTTGTCCCACTCAGCCAGCTCATTCTCTTTAAAATATGACGAGGGCAGCCGGGTAGCTCAGTGGGTTAGAGCGCTGTCCCCATAAGCCAAGGTTGTGGGTTTGATCTCCCAGTCAGGGTCAGGGCACATACAAGAAGCAACCAATGAATGCATAGCTAAGTAGAACAACAAATCGATGTTCCTCTCTCTAAGATAAAATAAATAAAAGGAAACCTGACGTAGGGCATAAAGTTCATTCAACATAGGACACAAAGTGGGAGGGCGCTGTGGGGGTTCAGGACGAGTTACCCCAAGATGTGCCTGAGTGGTGTGTGGATTGTTCTGAGCTCTGTGGGCTCAAAAGAAACTTCTGCCCCTCCCCTCTTACCTACCTAGAACTTGAATTAGGGGCTTTGCCTAGAGTTAGAGATGATTAGAGATAACGTTTTATGACCTACCTACATGGCAGAGCAAACCTCTACTGATCATCTGCTCTTCTAATCGTCCTTCACTGACCTTCCTCCCCTCTGAAGCCCCAAAGTCAATGTTAGCTTGGGATGTCTTACAGGAGAAGAAACATCATCGGTGTTCTTTCAAAAACAGGTAGTAGCCTCAAAACCCTTGTATTGTAAATATGACATTTACGTAAACTGACAAAATGATTCCACTCAGACCTTATAAACATGAGAGCTTGAACATCTACAGTGATTGTAAATACTCCAGCTGTGTTGTTAAAGTAACTATTGCATTTGTGTTTCGTGCAGCAGAAACCCATTGATGTACGTTGCGGTTTATCCTGTGAATCCCAGCAAAGATTCATAGATGTGTGGAACCTGTTTACCATCTCTTTCTCAGTGCATGTCAGCAGATACGCCCAAGGTCTTAATGGGAGACCCACCAACGCTCGCAACAGTGAAAAAGTCACACGGCCATCCATCTCCCCCAGCAGAACATCAAAATCAAGACTAGGAACTAACTCATTTTCCCATTCATTTGTTTATGCTTTCATTCCCTCATTTATTCAGCAAACATTTAATGAGCATCTCCAAAATGCCAGGCCGTGCTAGGTTAGGATCAAGGATGAACCACCTCAACAGGTAGTCCCTGGTCCGAAGGGCCCTACAGTCTAAAAGGGGAGGCAATGAACAATCGGGTGCAGCAGCCAGCACTGGGGAGAAACGTCCACAATCACTGAGATCAGAAAATATTTGATCATGTCTGGCAGGAACAGCAAAGTGTTGTATTTCCCAGCCAAGTCTTGTTGCAAAAACCTTTGAGCTTCTGACCTACATATTTTGACCACTGTTTGCTTTTCATTTGTGTTCCCGGTATTATTGGTGTGAACAAGGTGAACACTGGCTTGGAGTCGCTTCAAGGCCTGAAACCGTGGGTTCATTACACCCAAGAGGGACACACATAGCTTCCGGTCCCATCTATTCTAACAGACTCACTTTTAGAAGACATTTTCTCCTGGAAACCTTGGGCACTGCTAATTGGCAGCCACTATGTGTGGGGGAACCTGTAAGAGATCTGGGCTCCCTCTGGGGAGCTCCGTGACCCTACTGGTGTGTGGGTATAAGAGAGAATATGGCTCTGCCATTCCCCTTAGCAGAGGTGAATACATTTGTTATTTATGCCTTTTGTAGTCATGACATAAAAGTAGCACTTTATAACTACGTCAATTGGAACGCACTCTCAGCAAGCTGTACTTAAAATGGCATCTGAAAATCGTCCCTGTCCCCTTTGCCGCACAATTGCAGCGGTGGCATGTGTCCGGAGGCCCCAAAGCAGGGGAAACACAACTCCGACATCCCTAGTGTTTTCTTGAATAACCTACAGACTCTCTCCAGTCTGGCATCCTATTTCTGGCCTCAGTGCTGTATGACTGGTGATGTTTTTGTTGCAATGCTATGGACTTGACTCACTGGTTTACGGGGATTGCTGGGTCGAATATTTGGAACTGAGATAATCGGGGCCAACAAGTTTGCTTATTGGTGCTTCTTGTAACGAAGGATGTTCTGAGATTCCACTCTCCTCTCTTCCAACTGCTCCCTGACAAATAAGTCTGGACACATTATTTTAAACCATGTTAGTAAAATACTGTTACCTGGCTTGTGCAGTCATTCCCCAGGTCACGTATTTGCCTTTTAAATAAGCACTTTCATTCTCCAATACAAAAGGAAAGAGGTGGTGGTGGTGTAGCTGGAAATGTAAAGCCCTCACAGGCCTTGTCCTAACATAGAGACCTTAGCGCTCATACTTCTGTAGCACCTCCTCGGGGCCAGGCACCATTCCAGGGCCCTGCATATAGTAACTCATTTAATACTCACAGCCACCTGTGAGCTTGGTACAATTAGTGTCCCCTTTTATAGGTGAGGGAATTGAGGTACAGGGGTACAGGAACGAGGTCACACAGTGGTAAGAGGCAGACCAGGAGCCTGATCTAGATCATCTGACTCCAGACTTAGAAAGGTAGAAAGGATGTTAATCCTCACCCAAGGCTATTTTTTCCATTGGCTTTTTTTTTTTTAGAGAGTGGAAGGGAAGGAGGGAGGGGAAGAGCATGCCATCGATGTGAGAGAGACACATTGATTGGTTGCCTCCTGCACACGGGGTGGGTATCGAGCCTGCAACCCAGGTACGTGCCCTTGAGTGGGAATTGAACCCATGACCCTTCAGTTCATGGGCCCACGCTCTAACCACTGCCAGGGCCAGAAAGGAGATTTTTGACAGAAGGAGCTCAGCCTTTGGAACCAGACAGCGTGCGTCTGAATCTAGGCTCTGCCTCTAACTAGCCAAGGGACCTTGGGCAAGTTATTCGAACCTTAAGCTCCCGCTCTGTGAGATGGAAGCACAGAGGTGGTGTATGTAAGGCTCCAGGCACACAGGGTACTTAATGACAGCTGAGACCACTCCTGACCTTCCCCTTGCTTTCTATACACACACGGACACACCTATCCTTTTGGCCTGGTTACTTTATACTCATGATTCATAATTCAGCTTAGGGAGACCACCACCCCAGCTTTCCCTGCAGAAAGCGCAGCCAGGGCGGTGTGCAGCCCCCCTGGGAGCACACCGTGCTGGGGGCAGGGAGAAAGGGCTCGTGGCCCAGCGGGGGCCTCGCGGGGGAGATGCAGGTGGGAACACTGCAGGCTAAAGGACCCATTTGCTCAGGTGGAGGTCGAGGAGAGTCAGTGTGGTGTGTGCAGGGACTCCGTTCGGGGATGCTGGGGGGCCCTTAGGAATAGGGGAGTGACAGGTGGGGTCTGATGGGGGGAGAACGGCCAGGCAGGGCATGAGCTTTCTGTGGGGAGCAGCGGGGAGGCCCTGCAACGTTCAGATCAGATCCTGTATGGAGACCAGTCAGGAGGCTGCCGTGGCAGGACTGGGCGGGAGACGGGGCTTGAAGCAGGGTGGGCAGGCGACGTGGCTTCCAGATGAGGCCAGAGGGACATTCTTAGAACAACTCCTCCTCCTCCTCCCAAACGCAGCGGAATCAAAGTTTAGCTTTATTGAGCAAAAGAGTTCCAATCTCTGTGGAAAGGCTTCAGAATTACCTGCTGATTTTGCTGCAAAACTATGGATTAGTCAAAGAGAAATCACCCCCTGGCCACCACCTTTGTCCCCTCACAGAACACAAATCATCCTTAGAGATCAAGTGATGCATTTGTGCCCAGAGAATTAATAGCCTTTTCCTGTATCTAAAATTACGCCTAATTTTACTCACTTCCCTTAAAGAAAATCACCCTTCAGAACCAGGCTGCTGGTTCTGAGAGACGTGGGTCAGGCCCATCTTGGTGCCAAGAGCAGCAGCCCAGCAGAGGAGGGGGCTGGCACACGTCACCCCCTAAAGCTTCGAGACCACTGGCGGGTCCCTGGCATCAGTTTCCAGCCACTGCACGAGGATCCGATTCAACTCGGCGGGCCTGGGAAGGGAATGAAAGACGATTCGTACCCGTCTGGACCCGCTCACCTCACACGAGGTGAACAGCTAGCCCAGGAAGGCCTTTACTGAAGGTGAACAGGAAGTCCCGATGTCCCCCGCCCTGGGACCCCCAACTCCTTACTTCTCTATCTGTGTCCAGTGTCCACAATGAATATTTGGAACTGAGATAATCGGGGCCAACAAGTTTGCTTATTGGTGCTTCTTGTAACGAAGGATGTTCTGAGATTCCACTCTCCTCTCTTCCAACTGCTCCCTGACAAATAAGTCTGGACACATTATTTTAAACCATGTTAGTAAAATACTGTTACCTGGCTTGTGCAGTCATTCCCCAGGTCACGTATTTGCCTTTTAAATAAGCACTTTCATTCTCCAATACAAAAGGAAAGAGGTGGTGGTGGTGTAGCTGGAAATGTAAAGCCCTCGCAGGCCTTGTCCTAACATAGAGACCTTAGCGCTCATACTTCTGTAGCACCTCCTCGGGGCCAGGCACCATTCCAGGGCCCTGCATATAGTAACTCATTTAATACTCACAGCCACCTGTGAGCTTGGTACAATTAGTGTCCCCTTTTATAGGTGAGGGAATTGAGGTACAGGAAACCTTTCTCGAGGTCACACAGTGGTAAGAGGCAGACCAGGAGCCTGATCTAGATCATCTGACTCCAGACTTAGAAAGGAGATTTTGTTGTTAATCCTCACCCAAGGCTATTTTTTCCATTGACTTTTTTTTTTTTTAGAGAGTGGAAGGGAAGGAGGGAGGGGAAGAGCATGCCATCGATGTGAGAGAGACACATTGATTGGTTGCCTCCTGCACACAGGGTGGGTATCGAGCCTGCAACCCAGGTATGTGCCCTTGAGTGGGAATTGAACCCATGACCCTTCAGTTCATGGGCCCACGCTCTAACCACTGCCAGGGCCAGAAAGGAGATTTTTGACAGAAGGAGCTCAGCCTTTGGAACCAGACAGCGTGCGTCTGAATCTAGGCTCTGCCTCTAAGTAGCCAAGGGACCTTGGGCAAGTTATTCGAACCTTAAGTTCCCGCTCTGTGAGATGGAAGCACAGAGGTGGTGTATGTAAGGTTCCAGGCACACAGGGTACTTAATGACAGCTGAGACCACTCCTGACCTTCCCCTTGCTTTCTATACACACACGGACACACCTATCCTTTTGGCCTGGTTACTTTATACTCATGATTCATAATTCAGCTTAGGGAGACCACCACCCCAGCTTTCCCTGCAGAAAGCGCAGCCAGGGCGGTGTGCAGCCCCCCTGGGAGCACACCGTGCTGGGGGCAGGGAGAAAGGGCTCGTGGCCCAGCGGGGGCCTCGCGGGGGAGATGCAGGTGGGAACACTGCAGGCTAAAGGACCCATTTGCTCAGGTGGAGGTCGAGGAGAGTCAGTGTGGTGTGTGCAGGGACTCCGTTCGGGGATGCTGGGGGGCCCTTAGGAATAGGGGAGTGACAGGTGGGGTCTGATGGGGGGAGAACGGCCAGGCAGGGCATGAGCTTTCTGTGGGGAGCAGCGGGGAGGCCCTGCAACGTTCAGATCAGATCCTGTATGGAGACCAGTCAGGAGGCTGCCGTGGCAGGACTGGGCGGGAGACGGGGCTTGAAGCAGGGTGGGCAGGCGACGTGGCTTCCAGATGAGGCCAGAGGGACATTCTTAGAACAACTCCTCCTCCTCCTCCCAAACGCAGCGGAATCAAAGTTTAGCTTTATTGAGCAAAAGAGTTCCAATCTCTGTGGAAAGGCTTCAGAATTACCTGCTGATTTTGCTGCAAAACTATGGATTAGTCAAAGAGAAATCACCCCCTGGCCACCACCTTTGTCCCCTCACAGAACACAAATCATCCTTAGAGATCAAGTGATGCATTTGTGCCCAGAGAATTAATAGCCTTTTCCTGTATCTAAAATTACGCCTAATTTTACTCACTTCCCTTAAAGAAAATCACCCTTCAGAACCAGGCTGCTGGTTCTGAGAGACGTGGGTCAGGCCCATCTTGGTGCCAAGAGCAGCAGCCCAGCAGAGGAGGGGGCTGGCACACGTCACCCCCTAAAGCTTCGAGACCACTGGCGGGTCCCTGGCATCAGTTTCCAGCCACTGCACGAGGATCCGATTCAACTCGGCGGGCCTGGGAAGGGAATGAAAGACGATTCGTACCCGTCTGGACCCGCTCACCTCACACGAGGTGAACAGCTAGCCCAGGAAGGCCTTTACTGAAGGTGAACAGGAAGTCCCGATGTCCCCCGCCCTGGGACCCCCAACTCCTTACTTCTCTATCTGTGTCCAGTGTCCACAATCCTTAATGTGTCCCCTTTTCAGGTGGGGGATCTGGAAGAAAACACCAGCCAGAAAAGTAAATGGCAGAGTGCCCGTGGGTCTGGTTTCAGGTTAGTGCAACGTGTAAGGGGGCCCCTGTGAGGAGGCACCTTCCCCTCTGCTCCCCATAGGCCAGGCCCCGCCCTGAAAACATGCGTGTTTAGGGAAGGAATAATTATTGAGCAACTACGATGTCCTGGGTGCTCTACTTGAAGCATACCCACAATCCTGTGCAGTAATGGGAAAGCTCAGAGAGGTTAGGGAACCTGCCCAAGGCCACACAGAGTGGCTGAGCTGATATTCAAATCCAGGGCCGACTTGTTCTCATCACAACTGTCTCCCTTCAGAACCATTCGTTCTCAGCCCTTTCACTGCCTGCAAGATGCTTGCTTGTTGCTGGCTCTCGCCATGCAGACGCGACTGCACCCGCTTCCCGGCTGTCTCGCTGGAGGTCTGCACGCAGGGCTGTTTGGCTTCCCCTCTGGAACCTGGGCTCCCACAGTGGGTCACTGCAGCCAGCACCCGGGACCGAGAGGGGGCAGCAGGCAGCAGCTGGGACACGGATTGCTTCCCGACACAGCCTTGAACCCTGACCGCGTGTGGGAAAGGCTGGGGAAAATGCCCTTCTCCTCTCAGAAGCATAATACACCCCAGTGAGGTTAGAGTCCGTTACAGGGGGCTTTAAAGGACCAGCTGAAGATCTTGAATTTCTACAGAAACCTTCGAGGGTTGGGACCAGGGAGCCGAGCCCGTGGGCTCACAGCTTTCCGCAGCACCTTGGCCAGATCCACAGCCCACACCGCGGCCGCATCCCACACGCACCCTCCCCGCTGTGTCTGATGCTGCTGACAAAGCCACAGGCAACTGGGGACGGGCCGCTCTCAGCTGGCCAGCCCACGGCCACCCCACTGCAGGCCTCCCCAGTCACTACCAGCCTCCACACTTTTAATAGAGGGAGCTTCCGATCCCATCACTCCCCTCCGGTGGCTCTCAGGCCCGTGGCCCACACAGCTCAGCCGGGCCCAGAGGGCTCAGCAAGATCCTCCGGCCTCATGGAGCTCCTGCCGTTCTCTGGGCATGCACGCTCCTCGCCTCAACACCCTGTCTTGCCCCGGGTTCTGTCTCTTTGCCTGGGCTGAGTGCGGGATTAACTACAGGACAGTGAGTGCCTATAGGGCAGGGTCCGTATCTTACTCATCTTAACCTTCTCAGCATCTAACACGGTCCCAACACATTTAAGGGCACAGCACAAGCCCATGAAATGAATAAATGAATGAGTGAGTGAATGAATGAGAGACTGAATCCGTGCAAGGAAAAGGAAGCATCAGGCACAGTTGTTGCTCCCAAGAGGTGACAGTGAGGCTCCTGAGGAAGCCCCTGTCCAGCAAGCGGTTCAGGAGAATGTCCCCCTCTGCCCTCAGCTGCCTCTTTCCTTGGGGACACCTGCCCTCTCCCTCCAGGAAGCACCGAGGGCCCAGGCAGCACCGCCCTCACCCAGTCCTCCATATGCTTGGACATCTCAGGACGAAGCACTTCGTCGTTCTCCACAGTTACCATCAGGGCCGGAATGAGGATCTGGGGAGACATGACAGGAGGTGGTGACAGCCAGAAAAGGAAAAGACGTCCCCTTCTTGCACCTTCCAGTTTAGGTCTCCCCTCCTCTGCTTCGTTTTCATGCTCCGCGGCTTCCCCACTATGAACCCCCGCCGAGGGGCCCAGCAGCCGCCGTGGCCTTGGCTCTGTCTGGCGCGCTTGGCCTGAAGGAGGCATCACTCCTACTGGAGGTCTAGGAGAGGGATGTGAGATGGTAGAAAATACATATGCTGGTCTCTGCCTCCGGGTTCCGGCACAGAGCTCCTGAAACGCCTGGACATTTTTTATTATTATTGATTTCAGAGAGGAAGGGAGAGGGAGAGGCAGAAAGAAACACCAATGGTGAGAGAGAATCATTGATCGGCTGCCTCCTGCACAGCCCACACTGGGAATTGAGCCCACAACCCGGGCCTGTGCCCTGACCGGGAATCGAACCGTGACCTCCTGGGTCATAGGTCAATTCTCAACCACGGAGCCACGCTGGCCGGGCTTCTCTGGACATTTCTAAGTGACAGGAGCACTAGGAGCATCTAATACTTGTCTCTGACCCGGTCCCTGACACGGGGCTCCTAAAACCCTTATAAATTCCCAAGTGCTAAGACCTCGAGGAGCATCTTTTGTTCTAAAGAGGCAACTCTGGGTGTTTCCTGGATGGGGGATGGTCACCAGAAACCGAGCCATGATTAGAAGTTTTATGTTTTCAGCCCCCCTTCCCCCATGTCTGTCTGTCTGTCTGTCTGTCTCTCTCTCTCTCCCTCCCTCCCTCCCTCCTCTAGAGAGGGGAGAGGGACTGGAATGGGGTGAACAATTGATCATTCCCTTCTTGAACCTTCCAGTTTAGGTCTCCCCTCCTCTGCTTCGTTTTCATGCTCCGAGGCTTCCCCACTATTAACACCCGCCGAGGGGCCCAGCAGCTGCCGTGGCCCTGGCTCTGCCTGGCGCCCTGGGCCTGAAGGAGGCATCACTCCTGCTGGAGGTCTAGGAGAGGGATGTGAGATGGTAGAAAATATATATACTGGTCTCTGCCTCCGGGTTCCGGCACAGAGCTCCTGAAACGCCTGGACATTTTTTATTATTATTGATTTCAGAGAGGAAGGGAGAGACCTGGACATTTTTTATTACTATTGATTTCAGAGAGGAAGGGAGAGGGAGAGGCAGAAAGAAACACCAATGGTGAGAGAGAATCATTGATCGGCTGCCTCCTGCACACCCCACACTGGGAATTGAGCCCACAACCCGGGCCTGTGCCCTGACCGGGAATCGAACCGTGACCTCCTGGGTCATAGGTCAATTCTCAACCATGGAGCCACGCTGGCCGGGCTTCTCTGGATATTTCTAAGTGACAGGAGCACTAGGAGCATCTAATACTTGTCTCTGACCCGGTCCCTGACACGGGGCTCCTAAAACCCTTATAAATTCCCAAGTGCTAAGACCTCGAGGAGCATCTTTTGTTCTAAAGAGGCAACTCTGGTGTTTCCTGGATGGGGGATGGTCACCAGAAACCGAGCCATGATTAGAAGTTTTATGTTTTCAGCCCCCCTTCCCCCATGTCTGTCTGTCTGTCTGTCTGTCTCTCTCTCTCTCCCTCCCTCCCTCCCTCCTCTAGAGAGGGGAGAGGGACTGGAATGGGGTGAACAATTGATCATTCCCACACGAGGAAGCTCCATAAAAACCTCAGTAGCATGGAGTTTGGAGAGTGTTCACACTGGGGAACTCACCCATGTACCCGGGAGGGTGGCACTCGGCTCCCCGGGCACAGAGGCTCCAGCACTCACACCCTCCCAGACCTCGCCCTTGTATTTCTCCACATGGCTGCGCACCTGTGTCCTGTCTCTCCTCCTTTACTAAGCGTGTAGGGGTAAGTAAGAGGCTCCCTGAGTTCTGTGAGCCACTCTAGCAAACAGTGATCGAACTGAGGAGGGGTGGTGGGAGCCTCAGGTCTATAGCTGGTCAGAAGCACAGGTGACAACTGGACTTACGATTGGTGTCTGAAGTATGTGTGGGGGGGAGGGAGGGGGGGCAGTATTGGAGGCCTGAACCCTTAACCTGTGGGAGCTGACACTACCTCAGGTAGATAGTGCTAGAATTTAGTAGTTAAAGTGTAGGACACCAGCTGATACTGCAGAGAATTTCCTGCTGGGGGACAAACCCTCACACATTTCATGACCAGAAGTGAAATGTTTTGTGTGAATGTAAAGGTTCAGGAGAAGACTGAGTTTTCTAATACAGATGAACTTAACAGTGCAGTGACCAACAGGGGCTCATGTGTGTGTGCTCGCGTGTGTGTGTATGTGTGTGTGTAAGTAAGAATGCGTGGGCTGGCCCACTCTGTGGGATGGGACAAGAAAGGAAGAAATGCCCTTGCATGGAGATCGATATTCCTTTTCTTTGAGTTAAATGGACGCTTCAAAAGGGCAGCCAAGACTCTAGAGCAGTGGTTCTCAACCTTCCTAATGCCACGACCCTTTAATACAGTTCCTCATGTTGTGGTGACCCCCAATTTCATTGTTACAAATTGAACATAATTAATAATCACAAAAACAATATGTAATTATATATGTGTTTTCCGATGGTCTTAGGCTACCCCTGTGAAAGGGTCGTTGGACCCCCAAAGGGGTTGCGACCCACAGGTTGAGAACCGTTGCTCTGGAGAGTGAACGGGCCAGACACAACTGTTACCAACATGACATTAGAGGCAGCAAAATGACTTCTCTTTTATCCACTGATAAATGGGGCCTGGAGAGGCCATGAAAGCCTCCATTTATTCTCTTTGTTCTCACTCTGCCATAATAATGTTCAAACAGCTCCAGTTTGTCCCTGATTAAGAAATCTGCACTATTTTTTTTTTACCCACCGCACCCCGTCCTCCAAATGAGAGCATGAACAGGAGACATGCAAACATGCTTTTGGTGCTGAAAGTCATCGGGAGGCCGCGGTGGGCTGGGAAAGCTCTAGAATGCTCCAAGTCAAAATGTAAACTGGTGGTGGGGGCACGGAGGAGGTGGGAGAGGAGGGAGATCTGAAAGGTGGCTGCAGAAGGGAATTCCCAACTTAAGCACCATCAGGGTTCGCCTTCCCAGAATCTTTGACATTATGTCCATCCACACTTGGAGAGATTTTGCCCATCAAACTGCGGCTTTATAATTTCTGTCAATCACACCCACCGCACCCCGTCCTTCAAATGAGAACCAGGAGACATGCAAACACGCTTTTGGTGCTGAAAGTCATCCGGAGGCCGAGGTGGGCTGGGCAAGCTCTAGAATGCTCCAAGTCAAAATGTAAACTGGTGGTGGGGGCACGGAGGAGGTGGGAGAGGAGGGAGATCTGAAAGGTGGCCGCAGAAGAAGGGAATTCCCAACTTAAGCACCATCAGGGTTCGCCTTCCCAGAATCTTTGACATTATGTCCATCCACACTTGGAGAGATTTTGCCCATCAAACTGCGGCTTTATAATTTCTGTCAATCAGAGTAGAGTGATGATAAGGAGCATTAATTGAACTACTGCTATGTGCTAGGCACTGTTCTAAGCATTTTATGTGCATTAACCCATGTTATCGTTACATGTTAGCACCATTGTTGTCATTCCCACAGAGTACAGTGATGATAAGGAGCATTAACTGAACTACTGCTATGTGCTAGGCACTGTTCTAAGTTATCGTTACATGTTAGCACCATTGTTGTCATTCCCAGATTACAGAAGCGGCAACGAAGAACACTCTGGTTAAGAGTGTGGCCAAGGCCACACGGGGATCAGATCCCAGGCCGAATTTCTGTCCAGCCCACTCTTAACCACTGCCTTCTGTGCTGTCCTGCCTCCAGACCAACCCGTGTCGTCGAGACCTCCTCTGTTTTATTCGTTTGGTAAATCCGCGGTCTAGCACAGTGCCTGACACATAGAGGGCGTTCACAGTCGAGAGAGTCAACAAGACGACCAGGGCTCCCAAGTGAGCGAGGACCTTGAAAACGCAATCACCCTTAGGTTTTGAATGTTTTGAATGTAACCTGGGGGCCTCATTACTCCCATCGCAGACACAGAGATTGGAAACCATCTTCTGCTGGACAAACGAGGAAACAGAGCCACAGACTGACTTGGTCACATGATAAGGCCGAGACGAAGCCCCGCCTCTCTGAGAACACCTAGTGCTCCATCAGTGAACCCTTTGGGAGTCACCCTGGACCATCTGCTGCCCTGAGCTGGGGCACCACCAGGAGACCTGGGCCTCCCAGACCGAAGCTGCAGTCACCCAGTCAGACCCCTGCTCTGTTCCTAACGCCACCCATTCCAAGAGAAGCATCAGCAGAAGAGGCCCTAAGGGAAAACCTGGAGGAGGCACTTCCAAAAGCCCAGAGGAAAAGGACAGAAAGGAGGAAGCCAGCAGGTCCCTCGGTCCACCCCCAGCTCTGACCCAGGGCAACGGGAAGCCGGGGTGGGGGTGGGCGCATGGGAGAGGGAGCAACACTAACCCAGCACTCACCTTCCGTCCTCTGCCTTTGCAGCCCCACTTCCAGTTCCTGTCTATGTTTCGATACCAGTTTAGGGGACCCCTGGGGGGCAGATCAGGGAATAAAGACAGGAAAGCGTTTAGTCCTTGACTGTGCTGCAGACCCACCAGGCACCAGTCTCCCAGGGAGAGCCAAGCTTCTGCGGGAAAGAGGACCGAGCCCGGCACAAACAACGGTGCCTGAGTGCCAGGCCTGGGGACACGCGGGGTTCGTGGAGAGGGTCTGTGGAGAGGGCTGTCACACGGAGCCGGCCCCACAGGACTCCCCATGTCATCCCAGGGCTGTCACGTAAGAGGGTGGGAGCTTGTTTAGCGCCCTCACCATCCAGAGGCCACTCCCCTGCCCTGGGGAACCCCTGGAGAAGGGACTTCAGGGGGTGGTGCAGAGGTGTCTCCTCGGGGACAGGCAGGGCGGCTCTGGGGCTGGACCTAGAACCCTCTGCCTACTCGGGGTTGGTGCTCTCGGGTCTCACAGCTCTGGGCCCTGGGAATACCTTGGACACGCCACATACCCTTTTGGGACTTTCCATTTTCCCTCCCGAACAAGGAGGGGGTGAGGCCACATTATCTATGCTCCCTTCCAGAGCAAACCTGTCCTCAAATCTGAGACTCTTAAATGGTCTCAGCCTCAAAAGAAGAAGAAAAAATAAAGCTTAGGGAAGAGTTGTGGGTTGTGGTGGTGCAAGAGATTCTGAGGCTAAAGGGTCGGGGCCACAGGCGTTCCCCGCCAAGGCTACAGGATAGAGGACTTCTGGGTGGGGCTGGCCAAGGCAGTGCCCATGGCTTGGCTCTTTCTGAGTCCTCGGGTTGGAGTAAAGGATGGAAGTGTAGAGAGAGAGGCACGAGGGAGAGAAGAAGGATGGACATGTAGTGAACTGCAACATCCCTGAAGAAACCAGGAGCTTCAAAGATTTGCAACGTGTAAATATTCGAAGGGCTATGCAGGAAAGGGGCCGTTGGAGCAATGCCTTGTGGTTCCAGAGCAGAGGCCCAGACCATCAGCGTGAACGCGGGCCTGAGCCAAGGGAATGAGGTTGGACACCTGCTACAACGTGGAGAGCCCTGAGAGCACCAGCTGAGCGAGAGAAGCCAGGCACAGAGGCGCACACACTGTACTACATTTATGTGAAATGTCCGGAGTAGGCAAATCCATGGAGATGGAGGGCAGATAGGGATGGCCTAGGACTAGGCCAGGGGTGGGCAAACTTTTTGACTCGAGGGCCACAATGGGTTCTTAAACTGGACCGGAGGGCCGGAACAAAAGCATGGATGGAGTGTTTGTGTGAACTAATATAAATTCAAAGTAAACATCATTACATAAAAGGGTACGGTCTTTAATTTCAATAGTCTTATTCATTTCAAACGGCCGAATCCGGCCCGCGGGCCATAGTTTGCCCACGGCTGGACTAGGGGGTCGAGGGGAAGTGGGGGAGAGCTGACTGCTCAAGGAAATGGCGTTTCTTTTGGGGGCGATGTGGTGATGACCGCACGGCTCCATGAATGTGCTGAAACCACTGCAGAGGGTGGATTCTATATGGTATGTGAGCCAGCGCTCAACAAAGCTGTTTAAAAAGAGAGAGAGGTCTCCAGTCCCCCTAAAAATGTATGCAGTTTTTGAGTGTTGGTGTTTTTCTGAAGAAAGAACTCAGAACTGTCATTTGATTCTCACGGGGGTTGTGACTGGAAAAAGGTTAAAAGCATCTGCTCTGAGGGGGCCCAGAAGGTAGAGGGAGGTGAGCCATCCCAAAGCAGAGCCGACGGTGAGCCTCCCACCACTGGAGGCAGGGAAGCAGGGGCAGCCAGGCCTCCACGGGCCGTGGGGGCGGGAACCGGGCCTGTCCTGCACCCTGAGCACAGCAGCCCCGCGCGCTGACCAGCCTCTCCTGTGTTCTGGGCACCACTCCGTGTACCTGAAACCGGACTTCTTGAACTGCTGCACGTAGAAGCGGATGTCCTCCTCGGTCACAATCCTGCTGAGGCTGGGCTCTTTCGGGGCTTTCACAAAGAGTCCTCCTGCAAAAAGCCACTTGTTCCCGATCCCACGCCCTCGGCCAGGGGTCCCAGCAGCGAGTGCCGGCCTTCGCAATGGAGGCTGACCTCCTAACTGCCTCCCGCCTCCCTTGGCGCTCCTTCACTCATTCTCCCTTATCCATAGGAAGCCCCTTTCCTCTCCGTCAGAGAAGTCATTGTTGCCTCTGTCATTCTAGAACCCAAGAGTGTCACACCCAGGCCTCCGCTTCTGGGACACACACGAGGACTGACCACCCCCCTCCTGTCCTCCCAAAACTACACCTCCGTCCCAGGGTGACACCTGTCTTCGGCCCTGCCAGCCCTCCAGCTCTCCCTCTCCCCTAGACGAAGCCTTTCCTCCCTAGCTTAACGAATCCCATCCTCTTCAGATATCTCCACGGAGAGTCTTGGAATGTTCACCGGTGCCTGCTCCGATCGTCCTCGGAGCCTGGAAAACCGTCGGCCAGGGCGCAAGCGTGCTGTTGCCCTCGGCACACTCACGGGCCCCCCCTCAGTGTCCTCGGTGTGGAATCTCATTTGTTTTCAGGGGTGTACACTGTGTCCTGGCAGTTCCCTGTCCTGGGGGTGGGGGGGCAACCCTGTGATGCTGATGGACAGCCCAGGGACCACCGCCATTTCACGGGGGACAGCCCCGGGGGGCTCCCCAGGCTCAGCTGGGAGCTTTGGAGGCACAGGAGCTGGGGGATGGATGCAGCCTTCTGTGAGCTCCATCGCAGGGCTATGTGAGCAGGTGCCTCTGTGATGAAGCACTTGAGCCTCCCTGGAGGCCGGAGCTCCTAGCTCTCTGCTGTCTCGGGGCCGGGGTGAGAGCCCCTCCTGCCCCCCTCCCTGCGTTCCTGCCGTCCGTCCGCCTCCCCTTGGACTCCCCGACGCTGCTGCCTGTGTTTGGATGTCTGTCCCTGCCTCACCAAGTGTGAGCTCAAACCGTCTGCAGAGCGAAGGAATGCAGAGTGACCGAGTGACCGAGAAAAGGAATGGAGGGAGGAGGCGAGAGGGAAGGGAGATGTGGCCTTGACCAGTGAGAGGCGTATGGCCTTTAGGGCCAGAGGAGTTTAAGCCCAGCCTGGCTACTTGGACAAGTTCCTGAGCTTCATTGTCCTCATGTGTAGAATACAGATAATAATGGGATTTTTAAGGGTGTCATGAGGATTATAAATAATGTATCTAAAGAGGGCCAGGCCAGCATTTGCTGCACATAGTAGGTGCACAAACAAGTAGTAGTGTCCTCATTATCAATAAAAATACAAGTGAATAATGGTAAGGCCAGAGTGTTGGGGCAAAGGTAAGGTCTGTGGGAACAGTGCTGGATCTCAGAGCTATGGATGAACTCCAGTCTGTTCTTCACTCTGACTCCTCACTTGTTTCCAACCCAGGAGGGGGGACAAGGGTGGAAATGTGATGGAACTGGAATGACAGGACTCAGGGCTGGGATGGAGGAGAGGACAGTGGACTATGACAGGGGAGACCTGGCTTGGGGTCTAGCCCGACTCTCCCTCTGCCTGCACCAGGTGACCCTGCAGATGTCAGTTCCTATCTTGGGTCTCTGTCCTTGTCAGTAGAGGCTGGGATTGCCCCGACAAGCTCTAAGAGTCCTCCAAGCTCTTACTGTTTAAGATCTTGAATCCAAAGGTCCCTGAAGGAAAGGAACCTGAGGTCCCGTGATCAGCCCAGGGCTAAGGGGAGTGTTAGTCACCTGCGGGAACCCTATGTTAAGCCAGTCATAGTTCAGAGCTGGCAGGTGGCTGTTTCTGCTCATAGAGTCCGATGGAGAAATGCTCATTCAATGCTCAGCTGGCTCCTGCCATGGCCCTCCTGATTCCCTTCCCTTCTAAGAATACTTCTTACCCCTTTCACAGACGTTGTACAGGTTGAACAGAGCCTGTAAGAAGAAAAGTTGGAGATTATGTCATGGGTAAAGTAAAGAAAATATGCTGGAACAGTCACTTACTGTGCCATCAGACTAGTACAAACATGCTAAACTCCCGAGAGGTAGGCAAGTCCTCAGGGGTCACAGCAGAAATAGCTAACAATCAAAGCTCTGGGCCCAGGCTGCCCGCCCCTGCCCCCCCCACCCACCACTTGCAGGTCTTGGTGATATTATAAGAACTTGATTATATTAACCAATGGGAATAGAGATGAGACCTTAGGTCTATGGCAGATGGGAAGTTAAAGATAAGACCCTCCACAGTAAATCTGTGGTCCCACCCATCATGACAGAGAGATGTCAAAGGAGTTGGTCCATTCAGTTTGGAACTAAGAGGAAACCAAAAAATGTTCACCCAGAAATTTATAGCTACGAGCCTGCCTTCACAAGTGCTTGGGTTTGAATTTACACTCTCTCCATGATCTGGAAATCCCCAAGATGCAAAATCAACAGCAACCACAACAAAGTGAGGCTGGGCTAGTAATACCACCAGGATGTCTGACAGAAGCAGCCAGTGCTAAAACACAAAAGGGCCATTTCCTCAATCCCAGCTGAAGCCTACTGGCACAGATTCAGTGCTGCTTGAAGATGACCTCACAAACCAAAATTACAAAACTCCCTCTCTTCTCTATCCCACCCCCCTCCTGAAAATCCCATTGCAAGAGACAGTAAACATAGCAAATAGTGAATCTACACTAATAAAAGAAAAAGATGCAAATTGACCGTCACTTTGCAAAGCCCACCAGCCAATCAGGAGTGAGTATGCAAATTAACCCGACAAAGATGGCAGCTTAATCTGCATACGCAGGCACCGAGCGGCCAGGGGCGGGGCGGCTGCTTGTGCGCGCATTGGCGCCAAGCGGCCTGAGTCCCGGGGATGGGCGTCCTTGGGACCCAGGCCGCTCTGAGCCTGTAGGCCTGTATGTAGGGCCGGAGTGGCTGGGGTCCTGGAATGCCCCTGGCCACTCCGAGCGGCTGGGGGCAGGGCAGGAACATCCCCGGGACCCAGGTGCTCTGAGCCAGTGTGCGCGCAAGCAGCCAGAGGCAGGGCGGGAACGTCCCCCGCAGCGAGGGAGCAGACAGCAGAGCCCTGCTTGCCCCTGGCCGTGACAGCGAGGGGCAAGCAGTCCCCTGCAGGGCCCTCACAGAGAGCAGACACTAAGGCCCTGCTTGCCCCTGCGGCAGCAAGCCAGAAAGGCAAGCAAGCTCCCACAGAGAGCAGCAAAGGGCAAGCAGGCCCCCACAGAGAGCAGACACCCTAGTCCGGTGGCATCAAGCAGGCGGGTCCGCAGAGAGCAGAGAACCACGGGGAGCAGGCCTAAGCCATCAGTAGGACATCCCCTGAGGGCTCCCAGATTGGAGAGGGTGCAGGTCGGGCTGAGGGACCCACCCCCCATGCACGAATTTCATGCACTGGGCCCCTAGTATCAACTAATAGAACTTGCGAGAGAGAGGGAGAGAATGAAAATGAGTATGCTTAAAATTATTAAAAACATAAAAGAAACTGAAAAACAAGAACAGAACAATAGATCAGAGTGATTTGAAAAGGAGCCAAATAAAACTTTCATAAATTTCAAAAAATGTTCATTGAAAGAAAAAGCAAAAAACACACAAAACTTCAAAGATGGGTTAACCTGCAGATTAAACACCACTAAAAAAACAATAATAGGGTAGATCAGAGGCATGTTTCGCATAAACAATGACAGGAGCCTCTAAAAGAAAAAAAAATTGTCAACCTAGAATTCCATATTCAAACTATTCTTCAAGATTGAAAGCAAAAAAGACATTTTTCTGGCCAAAAACATTATGAGTTTACTACTAACAGACTGGAAAGAACTAACTACAAAAGAAAGTCCTTCAGAAAGAAGCAATTGAACTCAATATAAAAGAGTGAGATGCTAGAAGTGGTCAGCACAGAAAGTGGCAAACGTGGGAAAGGCTAAGCAGGCACTGACTATATGAGGGTGGGTGGAGGGTATGGAGATAAACCATTATAAGCAACTGTGGTTGTTCATGAAAAGGGTTGAAACAGCAATTAATTTGGGGCTTTGATAAACAATTATGCATGTTGATAAAAATGGTATAATTTCTCCACAGTCACTATTATAATCATTCTTTGATTTTAGTTTCAAAGCTTTACTGGTGTGTGGCAGTGAGGATGTGACCTTCCCCCATCAGTGTGACCGGTAGAGTGAGGGTCCCACTCACCCTGACTACAGAAATCAAAGGGAAGAAGGCCAGCTTGCTCATTCCCAGGCTCCAGTCCCCACCCCATCTTCCGAGGGAGGCCATCCAGAGACCTTTGCACCTCTGCAGCTCCCCCTTCCTGCTACCTATCCCCCTCTACCCTCCAACCCCTGTACCCCTCACCTCATCATGTGCTCTGAAAATGAGTTTGAAAGTCCGATACAGGTCCTCTTCCAGTTCAGCCTCAGCCACTCCCTAAAACAAAGTGTAAAGGAAGTCAGCTGTCTCCGAGGCATGAATCCACCAGGGGCAACCGCTCAGAAATAATAGAGCTCCTTCCTCCACACAGTCCCTGGGGGCCCAGTGTTATGGGAAGGAACTGAGGCAGAGCATGGCAGCGTGTCTTAGTCCATTCCAGCTGCTATAACAGAACCACAAATTGTGTAGTTTACAAACACAGATACTTATTTAGTCTGGAGGCTGGGACGTCCAAGACCAGGGCCCCAGCAGACTCAGTGTCTGGTGAGAGCCCACTTCCTGGTTCAGAGATGGCATCTTCTCACTGTGTGCTCACGTGGTGGGAGGCGGGAGGGGACTATCTGGGGTTTCTTTTTATATGGGCACTAATTCCCTGTATGAGGGCTCCACCCTCGAGACCCAAGCATCTCCCAAAGGGTCCACCTCCTATTAACATCACATAAGGATTAGGATTTCAAGATAGGAATTTGTGGTGGGGTGAGGGTGGGAAGTGGACACAAACATTCAGTCTATAGCAAAGTGCCAATCTATTTTTATCTCCTCCTTTCCAAATGCTCACCTAAACACACCCAGGCAACAACTAAACCGGATTGCAGAATGTCTTCTAAACGGGTGCCCTGCTTTCCCACCTCCTTGATTTAAAATATTGTAGCCTCCACCAAGAACACCTACCTCCCTCAGTTTGGCCTTCAAGAAGCCTTCAACATCTGTCCCAAACACTGCCTCCTCCATGAAGTCCTGTCTTCCCCCATCACAACAAAATAACTCTGCCCTTCTCGGTTCCCACAGAGCCTTTGCTGTGTCTCCTCGGAGCCCCCTGAGCGCAGGGAAGCATCCACTCATCTTCTTCCCGGGACCATCTGTGACTGGTCCTGGGTAGAGGCTGACGGTATGTATGTCCCTCTCCTAGGAATGTTCCCAGAGAGGAGCGTCCCATAAGCCAGGCAATAGGCACTGCAGTGGCCAGCACCCTCCGTCCCTGCTCACTGCAAGAGTTCCTTCTCCACTGCACTGTTTGTTCTGCCTATTGCAGATCATGAGAGCTCTGGGTCCACGGGACGCCAGCACCGCAGCAAAGGACACATTTGTCATCCGGCGGTGCTGGGTCTGCAGTTTATGATTTTATGAGGAAAGCGATGCTGTCGTGTTAATTACAACCCCCTTACATCTGTAAGATTCAGTTATGATGGAGAATCAATCTGCTGTGTGATGAATGCCGAGGCAAGAAACAGCCACGGGAGGAAGTACATTTGAAGTGATCGATGAAAGCCCCGGTCAGCCCTGTCACCAGGAGTCATCACTCTTATTTATTGAGAGCAGCCCCATCCCAGAAACCACTGCTGTTCAGGAGCCCAGGGGTGTATGTCAGTGTGTGGAGGCATCGTCACAGGCCAGAGGTCTGGGCGGGGCTTTGGCCCTCAAATGGTCCTTGGAGAGCGAACAGATGCCAAGAGGGTCAATAGAAAATCCAGGGAGCTCCCACAAAGCATGAGCGTGGGCAGCCTTTGTGCCTCAGCAGCCAAGATCACAGTCTCTGTCTCCCGGGGGAGATGGGAGCCTCCCTCTAATCAGTGGGCCGGGGCAGCAGCTCTGCTTCATGTTCCGTCTACCTTGATAATAACTGGAATTTCTGTGAAACTCGGGGCCGAGTTCTCTCAAAGCACGCCAGAAAACAGGGCTGGGGTGGTTGTCTCTGGGCTTGAGGATGCCAGTGGATAGAGGCACCTGATGCCTGGGCAAGAAGAGAAAACTATTCATTATTCCCTGCAGCCTGGCCAGGCAGACAGGAGAGAGGAGTCAGGCCTCAGAGGGGCCCTGGCGCCCTGAATCACTCTGACGCCACACTCGCTGGTCACACGGCACTGAGGTGGGAAGGCCATCTAGAGGATCAAGACCCTCAGGTTGAGGTGTGACCTTGTTCGAAGGTGGATTATAAATGGCCAGGCTGGAAGCGAGAACTCCAGACTCTAAGCCCCTCAGTATTTGGTTCTTTTCACTATAACATAACACCACCCACTGAAGAAAACAAAAATGAAATGCCGCGAGTGTCTTCCGTGAATGGCACAAAAACAAAACCAAGATAAAGACTGTGAGGAAGGTAGCTCACGGCTCCTCAGTTGAGGACGGGTGAAATGAATCATGGTCCATCTGAAAAGGAATGAGGTAAATCTATAGGTACTGATAGGAAAATCTGTCTAAGATCTATTGAATAAAAAAAAGCAGAATGATTCAATTTATACTAAAAATTATGTATACACTCATGTGCACACACACACACACACACACACTTACTTAAAAGCATATTTTTTAAAATGGGAAACACCAAACCATTCACAGTAGCTAGTTCTAGATGAGTGAAGGGGGACTTGATTTTTTATTTTACACAACTCAGTACTTTTTTTTAAGCTCATTTTTTTGTCTTTGCTGCCTCCTCATCCGTCCTCCTTTTCTTACTAATACAAATGCAAAGCCTATTCCCTTCATTGCCAAGCAAAGAAAAATACACCTTTTAGTATTAGTTTCCACCAGACTTGGCAAATTCTCAGGGCAAGATAGTAAACATGTGGGCTAAGGGTTCAAAGAGCTGGGGGTGGGGCTGGATCTAAACCTGGAGTTTGTCTAAGCCACACCCCGCAGTGCTCAGCAAACTGAAGCGAGAGAGGGGGCGCTGGAAGGGCTGGAGGGGGGGGGCGGGGGCTGGGTGCACCATTACACTGGAGCCTTCCTTAGGCGGAAAGAGTCTGGAATGACCTTGAGCCCTCAGGGATGATTCCTCCAGGCTGGAGAGCGGTGGGAACCCACCTGGGAGGAGAGATAGGAAGGAAGACTGGCTACCAACAGCCATCCCTGAAGCAGAGAGTTGTACCTGCCATATTTAACTTATTGGCCTGGATTCAGCTTACATTTGCAGCTATAATCTGTTCGAAAACCATCCAATGAGACCATCCTTTTTCCGATGAGGAAACCGAGGGCCAGAGATAGGAAGGGACTTGCTCCATCACTGAGTAGGTAGCAGACATGCAGGCAGAACCAGGTGCATGGTTTCTCCTTAAGACCCCGCTCGGTGCTTACCCTGACCATGCCAGCAGGATTCCTGGGCTCCTGGCAGTGGCCAGGTCACTGATTTGAATATCCACCATTTCCCTGACAAGAGGTTTCGTTCTTAAGAACAAAACCATCCCCACACTCTTCCTGCAGATTTTAAACCCAGCTGCTGTAACAGAACAATAGAGGTACTGATTTTTTCACAATGACTGTATCAACCTTCGAAACCACACACTCTCCCGCTAGGACTGCAATGATTTAGTGTCTTTCCCCTGAGGTCACTTTTTCAATGAGGACTTTGAGCTTATCCTGGTTTGCTCCTCCCCTCTCTTCTGGGACACACAGACACAATCAGTCCAAGCTCCCTCCCAGCGTGGCATAAGGGGAGGCACATGGGCTCTGAAGTCAAGCAAGACCAGGTCAACATCCTGACCCAGTCATGTACCTAGTATCAGCAGCCAGTTAGTAAGCCCGTCAGAGTCTCTGCTTGCTCAGCTGAAAGGCCGGGAGAGATGCCACAGGGTTGCTGTGAACACAACTAACTGCATCCAGCACTCAAAAAAGCTGTAGCTGCAACCCCATTGTCCATGATGGATGAATGAAGAAACAAATGTCACATACAGTAGGCCAGTGATGGCGAACCTTTTGAGCTCGGCGTGTCAGCATTTTGAAAAACCCTAACTTAACTCTGGTGCCGTGTCACATATAGAAATTTTTTGATATTTGCAACCATAGTAAAACAAAGACTTATATTTTTGATATTTATTTTATATATTTAAATGCCATTTAACAAAGAAAAATCAACCAAAAAAATGAGTTTGCGTGTCACCTCTGACACGCGTGTCATAGGTTCGCCATCACTGCAGTAGGCTATCATTGTCTTAAAGAGAAAGGAAATTCTGACACGTGCCACAGTGTGAATGAACCCTGAGGACATAATGCTAAGTGAAATAAGCCAGACACAGAAGGACAAACATTGTATGATTCCACTTAGAGGAGTAAAATTCACAGAGGCAGGAAGCAGAATGGGGGCTGCCAGGGTCTGGGGGGGAGGAGTGAGTGGGGAGTTAATGTTTAACGGGGACAGAGTTTCATTTCTGCAAGATGAAGAGAGTTCTGGAGAGGATGAAGGTGATGGTTGCATAACAATGTGAATGCGCTTAATGCCACTGAACTGTACACTTAAAATGCTAAATTTGATGTTATGTGTATTTTAAACTTAAAAAATAATAAAGATAACTTTAATGAGCTAAATCCCACTGATCAATACTCTAAATGAAGTTTGATCAAAACACAATACACAGTGAAACTACTACTTCCTTTTTTCTATCTCCTGTAATTACACGAATACAGCTTTTTACCAGTATAAAGCAGTATTTCTCAAAGTGTAGTCAGAAGAAACCTTGGGGAACCCTGAAGCCCTTTGAGGGCACATAATAGAAGATGCATAAATATTCGCTAGATGAAATAATGAATATTAATTCTTCACAAGTAATACCAGTTAAGGCATTTCTGACCTTTGAACATATTTGTAATGCTCAATCCCTCACACACATTACAGGGCACCTTTGTTTCACAGTAGCTAGGAGTCTCCTTACAAATATTCAGTCCAAAGGATGAAAAAGAGAGAAAAAAAAGAGGTAGAAGAGAAAAAAGTGGACACAAAACCCCACACCCTCTCCCTCCCTCTGGATTCTCCACATGGGGAACCCCACTGGTGGGGCCAGAGTGTTGAGGGCCTGTTGTAACCTATACACAGGCCTTGGGGCCGGGCTAGGGGAGAAGGTGCAAGGGTGAGAAGTGACAAAGGTGCATGGGGGATTCGAGGCGGTGAAGAGACCTGTGGGGTGGGGTGCTCTGGGAGGGGAGCTCTGGGCACACAGAGGGCAGGGGGAGGGGGTTGGACTCTTGTGGTGGGAGCCAAGCAGAGCCAGAGATTAAAAATGGGTCAAATAAGAGGTGAGAGGGACCCAAACCCAGCTTCCTAATTTAGTGTGGGACTCTGTCCCCTCCTCAATTCCCAGAGGCTAAGGAGCTGCCACTCAAGAACCAAGATCCACCGTTTGCTTCCCTCCCCCTCACCAGATGCTTCCCTGGTGTGAGCTGTACCAGGTTGCCGGAAGCCGGTCCATCCTTGCTGCTTGACACAGTCGCTGCAGGAAAGAAACATCTGCACAGCATATGTTTCAAGGGACCTGGCATATAGTGAAGCAAACACCCGGGAAAGGGCGACAAGCAGAACATCACACCTTAGATTGGCCTCCGATTTCTAGTCCAGCTGAAAGGATTTTCACGGGCCACCTGTGATGGGGTGATGAACCTCCACTACTGCTGACATCGACTACAACTTGGGGCTCCTTTCCAGGCTTTGCACAAGGTACCTACCTTCTTCCAGTCCCACTCATAGATCGCATTCCAAATATGCCCGTTTCTCACAGTCCCCACCCTTCCCCCACACTGTCCCTCTCCTGTTGTTATCCTCCTATTTCTTTCACAAGGGACACTGTCTCTTCTTCCCTTTACCCACCTGTTATGGGCTGAACTGTGTCTCCCCGAAGTTCCTATGAAGTCCTGACCCCTAGTAGCTCAGAATGTAATGGTATTGGGAGATGGGGTCTGAGACAGGTGCCCTTATAAGAGGAAATGTGGACACAGAGACACCCACACAGAGGATATACCATGTGAGGACACATGGAGAAGGGGGCCATCTACAAAGGAGGGGGCTTCAGAAGAAACCAACCATGTAGACACCATGATCTTGGACTTCTGGCCTCCAGAACTGAGTGATAATAAATTCTGTTGTCTAAGCCACCCAGTCCACAGTACGTTGCTATGGCAGCCCTAACTGACTACTATGCCATCTAATCATACCCATCCTTCAAGAGCAAGACGACTTCAAACTAATTAAGGTCATTTTGACTCCATTCAAACGTAAGGAAGCTGGCTCTTCCCACACCCTGGGCCGTGGCTCGGGAGGGCCCTGGCTTCAGTGGAGGATGTGATACTTCGAGCGTCTTTTCATGATATCGCTGGACGCATCTGGCATCTTGCTGAATGGGTCAGGTTAGTGCTCGAATAAAAACTTCTTCTTTCGAGGCACCATCTCTTAGAGAAAAGTTACTCACTGAATCAAAACTGGGATGGTTATTGCCTGGCCAGCATGGTTCAGTGGTTGAGCATCAACCTATGAACCAGGAGGTCACAGTTTGATTCTGGATCAGGGCACATGGCCAGGTTGCAGGCTTGATCCCCAGAGTGGGATGTGCAGGAGGCAGTCAATCAATGATTCACTCTCATCATTGACATTTCTAACTACCTCTCCTGTCCTCTCAGAAATCAATATCAATATATCTACACTAATAAAAGAGAAACATGGTAATTGGTGTACGACTGCTACCCTTCCCATTGGCTAATCAGCATATCCTTATGCAAATTAACTGTCAGCCAAGATGGCGGCCGGCAGCCAGGCAGCTGGAAGCGAACATGAGGCTTCCTTGCTTCAGTGACTGCAGTCTCCAACGTTCCCCGCCTCACTTGCCAGCCTCTGAGTTGCAACTCTAAGCAACTATGTACTATGTTGCAAATAAGAAGCTAAACAAAACCCTAGAAACCAGCTTTCAGCCTGCCGGGATCTCAGAGCTGAAGTTATACATTGTTTCGATTATAGAATGGCAAACAAACCAGATACGAAGCCTCAGAGCTAGAGCCAGAGCTAAAGCTGGCCCAGAATAAAATAAAAAAAGAGAAAAAAAAGGAGCGGTTGGGAGCTTCAGTCAACAACCGCCAGCCTGAAAGCAGCCCTCAGCCCCTCACCCAGACTGGCCAGGCACCCCAGTGGGGACCCCCACCCTGAAGGGGGTGTGACCAGCGGCAAACAGCAATCATCCCCTCATCCAGGCTGGCCAGGCACCCCAGTGGGGACCCCCACCCTGAAGGGGGTGTGACCAGCTGCAAACAGCCATCATCCCCTCATCCAGGCTGGCCAGGCACCCCAGTGGGGACCCCCACCCTGAAGGGGGTGTGACCAGCTGCAAACAGCCATCATCCCCTCATCCAGGCTGGCCAGGCACCCCAGTGGGGACCCCCACCCTGAAGGGGGTGTGACCAGCTGCAAACAGCCATCATCCCCTCATCCAGGCTGGCCAGGCACCCCAGTGGGGACCCCCACCCTGAAGGGGGTGTGACCAGCTGCAAACAGCCATCATCCCCTCATCCAGGCTGGCCAGGCACCCCAGTGGGGACCCCCACCCTGAAGGGGGTGTGACCAGCTGCAAACAGCCATCATCCCCTCATCCAGGCTGGCCAGGCACCCCAGTGGGGACCCCCACCCTGAAGGGGGTGTGACCAGCTGCAAACAGCCATCATCCCCTCATCCAGGCTGGCCAGGCACCCCAGTGGGGACCCCCACCCTGAAGGGGGTGTGACCAGCTGCAAACAGCCATCATCCCCTCATCCAGGCTGGCCAGGCACCCCAGTGGGGACCCCCACCCTGAAGGGGGTGTGACCAGCTGCAAACAGCCATCATCCCCTCATCCAGGCTGGCCAGGCACCCCAGTGGGGACCCCCACCCTGAAGGGGGTGTGACCAGCTTTGGCCCACTGCTACATCCCCTGAGCGGTTCCCGATTGCGAGAGGGCACAGGCCAGGCTGGGGCCCCCACACTCTCACCCCCATGCACAAATCCATGCACCGGGCCTCTAGTATATTATAAAAACACACAATAAAACTGAGTTGGTTGTGACCTTTGCTATAAATAGTATGACCTTCAAGTATTGGAAGGTCAAGAGCTGGGTGAGAGATGTGGGGAAACGCTCTGTTTCCCCACATCTCTTGATTAATGAATTTGTGTGCTCTTGATTAATGAATTTGATCCACTCTTCTCTCTTTACAGTGTTAAAGAAAATTCTTTTATCCTTTCTGGAATTACCTGGATGTAGCTGGACATTGGGGTCCAGAATCCACAAATGAATGACTAGCAGGTGCCCCCACAGCTGAGGTCAGCTGCGGGGTTAGGGAGGCAGATGATGCTGGCTCACGTTGCTGCTCTCAGTGAATCCCCATGAAATGTGGCAGTGACACCCCATCACACATATCACCCAAGCTCCAAGGGGCATCCTGGGTGTTGTGGCACATGGGGTGACACCTAGCAACCCCTCCACATCTCCCAAAGCACACAAAGGGCCAGTGCAGGGCTTTTAGGCTCTGCTTCTCCCTGTGATCACAAACCTTACTCTTCAAGAAGCCGAGGCCAGGAGCTGTCACCAACATGAGGTGGGTTCTATCCCCATCTCAGGCAGAGGACTAAGAAGGAACAGCTCCAAACTAGTGCTCAGCTCCCACTCCACAGTTTTGAAGAAGCAGAAGAACCTGGTGTGCTGTCAGCCCCACCACTGTCCCCCTCACCAACCCAAATACACACACACACACACACACACACACACACACACACACACACACACGTGCCATCACCTGGAAAGGACCGGCTGAGCTCTGGAGTCAGTTTCACCTGAGCCCATTTGTACAAAATTTCTGACTAAAGCCACAGAAAATTAAAGGGGACAGAGATACATCAAGCCAATGGGGAGGGGAAAGAAGAACAATACCTTGCTGGGGTCATTGATCTCAGGGCCCCAAACTTACCGGTTCTTGGAAATAGAGCTGGTAATTAAAAATAGGATTGGCTTTGAGTATCTCCATCGGGGACACATTGGGGTTTGCTGGCACGAAGGGAGTATTCAAACTTGCCACTGCCCTATGGAAAGAAGAGGCACCAAGACTTAGACCCTGTAAGACGATAGTCTATAAGGACCTTACCCATCAAGCCAAAGCTCAAAGCGGGAAAGTGATGTGCACAAGCTCTCACACCGTCAGTGTGTGGGAGAATGGGATCCGCACTCAGATTTCTTGAATCCCAGCCCAGTGTTTCCCCTCCCCACCCCACCCCACCTCACCCCTGTTAAACTGCAGTATTTCTCACTTGCCTCAGATGAAGACAGACAGAGCACACACACAACTACATCTAGTGTATCAACCTTGACCAGAATATGTGAACACTGCAATTTCTCCCTAATTTTTAGCATTTTTTTCCTTCCTTCCTTCCTTCACTCACTGTGTCTCTCCTGTGTTGAGTGTAATTCCATGCTATATACTAGGGGAGAAAAAATATAAAATCAGTATTCAAGGAGCTTATTATAACTTAATAAGGAAAACTAGACAAATACACCCATGGCTTTATTATGAGATAGACTGTGAGATAAGCGTGAGAACAGCACAGAATGCCATGGGCGCTCAGGAGGATAAAACATTTCTGGATCTGGATGTCATGGAAGACCTGGTGCGAATCTGAACTTGGCATCTAACCCAGTAGGTAGAGAAAGTTTTTGGTGAATCCAATGGTTAAGAACTGAGCTCTTATTTTGCCTTTGAATGAGGAAAAGGACAGAGAGAGAAGCTAAAGAGATCAGAAAAGCAAGAGTGTGAACAAATTATAAATATTTTAGAAAATGTTTGCTTTTTCTTAGTCTTTGATCCCACTCTACCATTTGAGCTGGGGTTGAGCTGAACCTAGTTCTCCTGTGTTTCCGTTCTTATAAACTTAGCCAAATAAAAAGGAACTAGATTCGTTAGGGAAACCAGATGGCCGGTAAGGATAATGCTTATTGAACCTGCTAAGATCCCAGGCTGAAACAGGAGGTCAGACAAGTTTTTATTTTGGCTGCCAGCTCAAAAGGAGTGTGGCTGCAAAAAACCACCCGCCTCTCTGGGTTCGAAACCCACCATCTGAAAGCTCCTGCTGCAGCTTCTAAGGACAATCAGGAATGATGTGACGACCATCATGAAATGCCTTTCTAACCTGACATCTGTGCAGCACGTTGCAGGTTGGGTAGTCAGGTTGCCGCTTTGTGGTTGAGGACACAAGGCCTAATGAAGTGACTTGTCACACAGCCAATTCAGGGCAAAACTGGAAGCCACATTTTCTGACTCCCTGTCCAGGACTGACGTCTCTCCTGATGCTTAATTCTATAAGCCCAACACCCCTGCTGCCTTCCCGCTCCCCTCAGGATCTACCATCCTTCTCCCACATGCCCACTGAGTACTGTCCCTGAATTATCTGTCCACTACCAGTAACTGGGACAGGCCTCACTTTCTAAGACATTAGCTCATTAAGCCCTCCTTGTTAATGTGTCAATGGGCATGAAGGAGCTAAGGTGCTACCTTCCCAGATAACCTATTTGTTTTCCAGACATTTTCTGGGGTTTGAGACTCAAGGAAGGATTCTAATGGGAATTCAGCCCCAGTCTTACCCAAATTCTCATTGCTCACGGCCTAATTACCTTACTCTCTCAGGGTAGAAGAGAGCCATGCTCCACACCAGTATGCCACCCCAGTCGTGGCCAATGAACACCGCTTGGAGGATGCCCTAGCAAAGGATAAAGAAGGGTGGTGAATGTGGGCAGGTTTCTGGGGTGAGGTGCTGAGAGCCCCAGGCCTTGTGCTCTCCCCTGAGCCCAACCCTCAGATGCAATTCTCTCATTCACTTCCTAGGGACCCCTCCACTGATCACGCCATGTAAGGTCATTATAGCATCAGGCCTGGGGCGGCCACACTGGGCCGTGTCCACTTAGATGTCCCCAGCGTACTCAAAAGTTCCAGTGCCAATTCCGTAGGACTGAGAATCTGCAGAGGTCAGGGACCATGACATTTTGGCCTCATTTACTAGTGCCTGGAACCCTGCCTGGGTGTGGTACTGAAACTCTTTAGTCATATCAGATTCTTCCCTTGACTCTCACACCGATTAACAAATCCCACTGTATTGAGGCTCTCTTAGCTGCCCCTCCCCTGTTTTCATTTCTCACCATGGCCTAACTGAGGATGGCAGGAGGCTGTCACTGAGTTATCTCAGGAATAGTACGTGTGCTCTGCAAAAGCATATTTGCAGGTCACCCTTGTTGATTTGTTTTGAGTTTGACATTCCAAATAATGTTAACTGAAGGCATTTGATTTTAGACATTTCAAAAGAAATGTAAGTTTTAAAAAGTTGTGAAACATTAGCCTATAGCAGTGGTTCTCAACCTTCCTAATGCCACGACCCTTTAATACAGTTCCTCATGTTGTGGTGACCCCCAACCATAAAATTATTTTC